ATGCTTTCTTAGGAGAAGATGGACTATGAAATTAAGGGCCAGCTTGAGGCAAAACTGCACAGAGGGCTCTCAGCCCCTAGCCACATGCTCCGGGTTTGCTCCAGGAATGACTGCCAGCTTCCCCAGGGGTGTCCCTTGACATTTCAAATCGGGGACCTTCAGGAGCATCAAAGGTCACTGTGGGGGTTTCAGGGCAGCGTCAACGCCACAGCCCTTCAGTTTCCACTCAGAGAAAATTGCTGTTTTCACATCCCACTCTAACCTCTGCTGCGCTAGCAAATCCCACCGGGTCAGGAACGCCACCAGGAGGAGGAGGAGGAGGGGACAAAGAGAAGTGAAGAGGAAGGAAGACAGAAAGGAGGAGGAAAAGGGAAGCCTGGGTCCCTCCGCCATCACTAAGCTAACTGAGAAAGTCATAGCTACTTTCTGTGGCTGAAGGCTGAACACAAACGAATATGTAAGTTTTGATGATTGTGTATAGACATCTTTGTAAGTCAGTCTTTATTGGTGATTTGATTCTATGAAACAAAACTACAGAGTAGTTGAATGAACCAAAGCTAAAGACAAGAACAGTACAGCCTTGTTCTTTAGAGGTCTGGAGGCAATTAATTTAATGAAAAACACAAATCCAAGCCTCAAGAACAGCTCAGAAGTGTTTGCTTTTAATTCCCTTTAAAGAATGCTTTTTCCCCCTTTAAAGAAATAAAGGGCATTTGGGGCAATGTTAATTTGATTATAAATATGGTGGATCATAAGGGGCCTGCAAGATGACTCAGTGGGTAAAAGCACCTACCAACAAGCCTGATGACCTGAGTTCAATCCCTGGGACCACACATAAAAGCAGGCAGAGAGATGGTTTAGTCAGTAAAGGAACTTGCCAAAGAGCCCAGTGGCCTGAGTTTGTTCCCTGGGACCCACATAGTGCAAGCAAATATACATACACACACAATAAATAAATAAAAACAGGTACAAAAGCTACCTTTGAGGAGAAAAAAGGAAGCACAAGAGAAGGAGCAGACACAGAATGTTCTGTGGACTCCTCCAGAGTGCTTCAAGCTTGAGGCAACAAACTTCAGGGTGGACCTGGACACCACCTCTGAAACAAACAATGTGTTTCCTATGCACCTCAAACAACAGTCAGTGAGTGTCACAGTCTTCGGGGAAGGTGGACACATACTCCCACCAAGAGGAAATGCAAGAACAAAAACTTCAGCTTGTATGTAAAGGCCCAAGCCGTGCTCCTACGTCCTCACATTCCCAGCAGAACTAAGGAAGGAATGGAGGGGTGGGGGAGAGCCAGGCTTTATCCACCTAGCTTGTCTTGTGAGCCTCCCTCCCTGGACCTGGAAGCACAGACAGGAGCCTACAGAGGCTGGCAACAGTCATTCACAGCAGGGGTCAGTGTCTGCTATCATTCACCAGCCCTGACCCCTAAGCTGTGAGCAAGCCTTGTCAATATAATGCTTCCAGTGAGTGCCAATGGCTTTGGAAGACCTTAGGAGCAGAGGTCCAAACACACTGTGACCCCAGCCATTAAAAACAGAGAGCGAGTGGCACCATCATATGCCGCGCTGTAGAATGAACAGTCCGTCAGTCGTCAGCTCTCCACGAAGGAAGTGCTATCCCTGAGCATTGTCAGCTCTCCACGAAGGAAGTGCTATCCCTGAGCATTGTCAGCTCTCCACGAAGGAAGTGCTATCCCTGAGCATTGTCAGCTCTCCACGAAGGAAGTGCTATTCCTGAGCATTTAACGTCTCTCAAGGGGTAGAAGCTGATATTTGTCAGAGCACTGAGGACCTACCACAGCTATTGTGGCTCCCTGGTTGTGGCACTGTGATTTTGCCTCAGGCGAATCTGTCCTTCCGGCTCCATCCATGAGGCCAGACGTGTTTATGCTACTTCTGGCCCCATGGATTTCAGAACTGAGGCTTGACTAAGCATCAAAATCGCAAGGCCATGGGACTGATTCCATTAGTGCAAATCTTCCCGATGTCCCTTTTGGTTTTCCAGAAGAAACAAGGGCTGCACAGAGAGGGGATGAGACAGTTTCAGCCGACGAATATTTTGCTTTTGCTGAAAGGGTAGAGGCTAAGTGGGTACGTCCTGTGCTCCAGCGGATTCTGCAGAAAAGTAAATGAAAATCCTTTGTCTACCACTCACTCCAGGAGTTTACACCTAAGATGCCACGGATGGGGGGAAGGGGAGATAAAGAAGGCTACAGATGCAACCCCCACCCCCATCACAGACCCATTCTAAATGCTTGGAAAAGGATCATGGGATAAAGCAATCTGACTGCCTCACCCCCTTCTCCCTCTGTTTGCACCAGATATTACTGGTCTCATATTCAGTGAGTGCAAACGATGCCGCCATTTAAATGCCCTCTGTGGACCAAAGGCTCAAGCCCCTTGTATTGACCATCTCCAGGCACTGCCTTATTGACCAGTCTGATTTGTAGCAGGCAAGCTGTGCTGGTCAAACTCCTGTTGCTGAGACAAAATGCTCGAGTCAGCTTAAAACAAGGAACAAATGGCTTATCTGGGCTTTTGGCTTCAACCCATGATCTCGTGACCGTTTTCCTTTGGTCCTGGGGTGCTGCAGTCCATCTCACATTCTCACCGACACCACACATCGGGCCCTGCGTAGTCCCACAGGGAGTGGTCAGATTCCCCCTTCTGACAGTGACAAGTGGCACAGTAAGTAGCAAGGGATGGCTGAGACCTCTTGTGGGTAAGTGAGGTAAAGGCTAAGAACTGACATCAAGGGAGAGAGTCCATGAGCAGATGGGGTAGAAAAGGAAGGGTCTGGTTTAGGGAAAAGGGACCAGTCAAAGAAACACACCCTGAGCAGAGCCAAAGAAACACACTTTGGCCCTGCAATCACAACCAAAGAAATGTACCCTGACCCTAAAACCAATGCCAAAGAACACACTTTGTCCCTGGAATCAGAGTCAGTGAAAGAAATGTACCCTGGCCCTAAAATTGGAGCCAAAAGGCTAAAAAGGACCAGAGAAAGAAACACACTTTGGCCCTGAAATCAGAGCCAAATCTGACCCTAATCCTGTGTAAAAAAAAAAGTAACCAAAAAAAAAAAAACAAAAACAAAAACAAAACAAAAAAAAAAAGTAACCAATCCCAGAGCAGAGCTCTAGCCAATCTGAGCTCAGCACTGAAATCGGACCAATCCCTACTCTGGAAAACCTTCCCCAACCCCAAGAATCCCTATATAAACCCTGTGTATGTTCAGCTTGGCTGGTCCAGCTGCCTTCCAATAAACACCTTTGGATGAGCTTCAGGGGAAGATCTTCTTTTGCGGCGGCGACAGAGCAGAGGCGACCCTGGGCAGAGCAGAGCAAGCAGAGGCGACCCTGGGCAGAGCAGAGCAGAACAGAGCAGAGCGAGCAGCGCTATAACACTTGCCAGGGGAAACCATCCTTGGCAGAACCGAGTCGTTACACTCTGCTCCAGGCTCCCTGCTCTCTGCTCTCCGCTCTCCAGGAGCAGAGCTGAACTGTAGCAACTTCGCCCGAGAAACCTAGTGTAGAAAACTGCCACACTAGGCGAACATCCCCAGCTGGAAGACCCTGTCCTGCCGGAGCAGAGCTGATACACCGGAGAAGCCTTTCTCTGAGGCAAGGCTGTAAGCTGCCAAGCTTACTGCAACCTGTGGTGGTCCTTGGCTCCCGAGCTCCAGGATACCTTTCCACCTGAGCTGTGTAACACTCAGTATTCTGTGACTCCCGAGTGCCAAAATACCTGACCCACTCCTGTTCCATCCTGTCGCGACCCATCCCGAAACGCTTACATCTGGAACATGGCATTCAGATATAAAGGCAAACAGGGCAAAGAAGCGGGCCCAGGATTGTAGGCTTTTTAAGTGATGCAGAGAAAGGGGGCAGAAGTATGGAAGAATTCTAACCAACATCCGGGCAGTCCCTCCTGGGCACCAGAAGCTTTGCATGTCCGTGTACATGTGATCCTCACCACAGCCTTGCACAGCGATCAAGTATCAGGAACTGTGCGTGTCTGTGAGGGACTGCCCCATTGCCTTAGCTGATGCATGAAGACCCACGACAACATGGGCTGTACCTTTTGGTAGTGGCCTAGATCGAGGATGTAGAAAAGGGAAGCTTTGATTTTCACTGGCTTGGACTTCATTCTCTCCGGGACGTTCATCTATGGGGTGGCTGCTGCTGCTCCAGGGTCTCAGCACCAGACTGGGACTGCCAAGACATCCAGCCTGGTGGTTCCCTGTCATCCCTGCCTCCTTCTGCCACCTGGCAGGTTCTAAACCCACAGCACCACTCTTCAGGGCCAGGACTTGAACCCAATGAGCTGACGGCACAGCCCAGAACCTGGCTACCACAGGGAGAAGGATGGCCGAGAGGAACAAGAGAAAGGACTCAGAGGACAGAGAAGTGTCACATCTGCATATAAAGCTGTCACATCCATATATAAAGCTGTCACATCCATATATAAAGCTGTCACATCCATATATAAAGCGGGGTAGCTGGTTAAACCGCAGGCTATGCTGTTGGGCCCCAGCCCCACGGGGTCTCTGGGAGTTGCTGGTCAGCCTACAAGTACAACTTGTTTTCCAGTCCAAGTGCTTCCTGTTTTCTAGTCCTGGCTTACTGCCCTGACCTTGCCCCTCTGACATCAACATTCAGCAGGAGGAAAACATGCTCTCTTCTACCTGGGGTTTTTCCACTGTGCTGTAAACCTGTATATAAAGCTCCTCCCTCGTACAAGAGAGAGACCTCTTAGCACTTGCAATGAACACACACACACACACACACATACACACACACACACACACACATTTTCCTGGCAATAAAGACAACACATGCATTCTCTTAGTGCAAACAGCTGGACGTCTTGTCTCTCTTTTCCTGATACCTCAGAGTCACTACTACACTGCTCTTCCAGAAAGCTTCTGTGCTTCCTCAAGGGGAGTCCAACCTGGAGGCAGGTGGCCAGCATCTCTGTGTTTTACCCACTCACCTTGGCATATAGGGAATGAATAGGAGCCCCAGCGGCAGGAGTCACACCGGGCACCCTCAACCCCAGGGCGGCACAGGCACCTGCCTTGGTCGTCACATATTTCTGGGAGAACACCTTCCAAGTTACAGTCACACCCTGCAAAAAAAAAAAAAAAAAAAAAAAAAAGATTGTCAGAGAGGCCACTGTGTCCCTGTGGAATTCCTGCTTCCCCTACCAGATTGGCCTGTGGGCAAGCCTGTGGTGCATCAGTGATTGCTGTGGGAGGGCCCAGCCTGTTCGGGGTGGAGCCACCCCAGGCGGGTGGTCCTTGGGTATAAGAAAGCAAGCTGAGCAAGCCATGGAGGAGCAAGCCAGTCAGCAGCACCCCTCCATGATCTCTGCATCAGCTTCTGTTTCCAGCTTCCTGCCCTGACTTCCCTCAGTGCTGGACTGTACCTGGACGTGTAATATGAAATTAACCCTTTCCTCCCCAAGTTGCTTATGGTCATGTAAGCAGTAATAGAAACCCCAGCTAAGACAGCCCAGCACCACTGTACCCAGCATTCTCTGTGGGTTGGGGGATCTGAATCAGGTTGTCCTGATTTTGAGGAAGGCACTTTACTGACAGCCATCTCTCTGGCTCCTCCTTCTATTTTTTTTTAAGATGAGGAAGCAACATAAATTCAGTCCTAGAGTGTGTCAAACTTGGCTTTCGGGGTTTTTGTGGGATTGTCTCACAGTGATCTTATCAAACCTACTTTTCACGTCACTTCCCAGTGTCAAGGCCCTTGGCGGTGACACAATGCCTCAGGACACAACCCAAAGCCCTTCACATTTTTGACAGCAAAGATCCTTCCAAATCTTCCAGACCAGAGCAGGCCACATGATCCTTTATGCAAATTAGAAAAAGATGCACCTGACCCTCACCCAGCCCCCTGCTTTAGCAGCCATGACAGGTGCAGAAGAGACCCAGCAAGATGTGAGCCTCTGATTCAGCACATATTGCTGAGTTTCTGGCCTTCTGACCTTGCCAGACCTGCCCCAGGCACTAGGAGGTCAGATACTCTCCATGTGTCAAGGAACCAATCAGAAGTTATGGTGCTTTAAGTGGCTTGCTGAGTATAGCAACCATCCTGGGAGGGCCTATAACCCATAGCAACCAATTTCCCAATCAACTCAGGCCAAGTCATCGAGGCCCAGAAGTGCGCCAGTCCTGAGACTGTTGCATACCCCTAGACACTCCCCTCCTTCTACCCAATAAATTCTCTGCCTCGCAGTTCCTTCGGGTTCTTCTTGCTCCTTGTCAGAGGGATAGAAGACCTGAGTTAATACAGTTAGCTCATTAAATGATAAAAGACTCTTTGCTTTGACATTGGAATGGGTCTCTTGGTGATTTGGGGGTTCAGAATGTGGGCACAACACTCTCAACATGTTTTCTTGTCACCTACTGTGAGATTATCATAAATATGCAGATCATGGTGTTTGCCACCCCCTGAAGCCTAGCTGTGATCTGCTCTAGGATCCACCCCACCCCCACACTTCCACCTCCCACAGTCCAGCCCTGTGGCCTTCCTGCAATCCCCTCTCCTACCCACCATGCCTCTCTTCAATGCCTCTCTGCTTAGGTAATTGTTTTTTATGCTCCAAGACTCTTCTCAAATGCCTTCATTGCTGCTCCAGGAAGCCACTTCCTGCCCACCTACTTCCTTCCTTCCCTGGCTCCTCTCCATTTCTTCATGGATGACCTTCCCCCTGCTCCCTTAGCCCTGGGTTCCTCCCTCTCATGGGTCTTAAGGGCTCCTGCTCTTCTGTCTGTCTGTCTGTCTGTCCACATCTCCGGTGACTGGGGGCTCCAGGGAGCAGGGGTGATGGGAACAAGGTAGGGCCTATATCAAACTAACTAAAGACTATGTTGCAGAGTCAAGCTTCAATTCCCCTCAGCAAATACCATTCCATAAGCTCTATTTTATCATATGGCCTCCCGACAGAGCAATCATAAGCCATTAGCTCATCTCTAAGTCACATCGGCCAAGCCTCAGTGATGGTCGCAGGCCACCTGCCAGATGAAATCCCATCCTGGGGAGGGCACTCCCTGGAAGCATGCACTAAAGCATTACCCGGACCTTTGGGGGTGTCCCCTTTCTAACACATCCACTAGCCCCCGGCCACTGACTTAAGTCAGGACCTTGACAAAGGAAACCAGTTCTTTCTTTAAAAGTGGGTGGGAGATTGCAAACCTTGCCACAGTTTTTTCAGGAAGTCCATCCCTGTAATAAAACAGGGCTGGCCTGTCTGCAGGCCTGATGAACTGCTCTACAGAATCATCCCAGGTTGCCCCAATTTCCCTGATAAAGTAGATGCCTGGGTGCTGCGAACTGTGGGATTTCTGCATCACTGCCATTTGAACTTGGAGGAGTAGAAGTACCCACACACCAGCAGTCTAGTGTCCTTGAGCATACATTCCAAGGGAATAACAGACTTCCTTGATGCCTTCTAAAGGGACCTCTTAGAGACAAGTCTATGACACATCTACTTTCTATTAATAATGTTTAAATGGAGATATATATCATCTGGAAAACCTAATAATATCCAGTTATGAGATAAGAGAGAAGCCTAGAAACAGTTAAACCTGCATAGCCATTTGAGTCTATGCTTTGGTGTCAGGAGTCCTTAACAAGTACAGCCGTCCCTTAGTAATGACGGGTATTCCATGGCACTCCCTAACCCTTTATGGACTTAACACCCCAGATGTCCAAGCTCTTCAGCTCAAACCACACAGTATATGAAGCCTTTGAATATAACCTATGTGTGTATTTCACAGCAAGACCTATAATACACAATACAATATGCATCTATACAGCACTAAGACTGACAATTCTACAAGTACACTGTAGGAGGAAGCCTGTATGCCACCATTAACCATGTGACTTACTAGAGGCGCATACCGATGAGGTAATAAAAGCAGTTTACCACACCGCTAACCACACCCACTTTAGGCATGACTAAAGTTGTATACGGACGGACGTAAAGACGTATACACACGTAGGCGGTGAACTACGTCACTAGCCAGGCCCACTTTTGGGCATGGCTAGGGGGCGTTACAGGGGAAGGCATAAAAGTCAGCACACAGGAAGTCTTGGTCTCTTTTCCCTGAGTTCGGCTTCCGGTTCCGCAGCAGAAAACTACTTGGCTCATCTGGGTTACTTGTTTGGTATCTTGTGAGTAATTTCTACAATAAATACTTAGTTTTACTTTCAGTAAGTGTGTCGCTTATTGTTACAGCATCATTTGGAGCCTCATTTGGTGTCGAAAGTTTTGGAATCCGGATCCAGGTGCCCAGAAAAGCGGCTGCTCCCCGGCCCGACCAGGTACACGTGGACTCTCCTTTCGCTAAGTTCCTCACCACTTCACTCAGCAAGGCACGATTCCTGCCGCCAGGAACCAGCACCTTCTACCTGCAGGTAAGGTTAGGTGGTATTCCGAGATTTCTCTTGAGGCCACGTGCTGTTTTACTGGCGGCCTGCTGACTCCGGCCACATGCTCTTTTGCTGGCAGCCTGTTGATTTCGGCCTGAATTACTCCACTGGTAACAAAATTAAATGCTTTATACAATGTCAGCTAACATTATGATACAGTATGTTAAGAATTTTCTTGTTTTTTGTATGGATGGGATTTTAGAAAGGGTTGAGGACCTACGTGAAAGGTACTTCCTACCCATGATGGTGATTATTAGTTTCATAATCAATATAATTTTGCTAAAGAAATGGCTCAAAAATAGAACGAAACTTATACAGGTCATACGGTCATCGCAGGATAGTTTTGAAATCTTAATACAAAGAATTCAGGAAATGCAAAATTCCTTGCAGGATAGTAAGAAAGGGTTGGTAGAAAATATTCAGGATATTAAAAATGATAATGTAGGTCTGACAAACAGGTTTAAAGAGATGGAACACAAAATTGAATTACTTTCAGGAAAAATGTGTTCAACAGATAGAATAGAAAAAGTGGAACATAATGTTGAAACATTTAACCAACAAAACTGTTCCATGTTTGATGATTTCACTAGCAAACTACAAAGACTGGAACATAAGATTGAAATGCTAACAGAAAAGAATTGTTCCATGTCTGAGAGCAATGACAAACTAACTGATAGAATATCATTTGTGGAAGGTAGTTTACATACCATTGAGGTACTTTCTAAGGATGAGAATATTAAGTATTTGGAATCACGTGTAAATGATAAATGCAAAAAAATGAAAGATTCCATGACGTCCTTAGAAAATTATTTGTCCCAAGAACTTCAAGAGCTCAGAGAAACAATGATGAATAGACTGCAGGATTTAGAAGACGTTCAATCTGATACTTCAGAATCAGACATAAAGGCAATAGGTCAGGACAGGAGTTTCCCAACACCTCTCAAATGCCAGAAAGATCTCCCTAAAGTTGCTATGCGTTCACCTATGGTTTTCCCAGTATCTGTAACAGAAAAACCAGCAACGAAAAAACAATCAAATGGTCCCATTGCTTATCACTGGGAACCTATACAGATGAAGGATCTAAAGGTAATCAAGGAGGCTATTGTTTTGTTTGGTCTTTATTCTCCCTTTGTCAGAGAGCTCCTAAACTCATGCGCCACTGTAAATAAAGTAACCCCAAAAGACTGGGCCCAATTAGCCTCTGCAGTGCTCGAAAATTCTTGTCAAATTTAATGGAGAGCTTTATGGAGGCAAGAAGTGAAAGCCTTAGAGATTCAGGAATTAAAGAACGGTCATGAAGTACCCCAAGACAAGATTCTTGGTGAGGGTCCTTACGCTGACATGCAGGTTCAGTGTGCATACGACGAGAACATGTTGTCTTTATGCCGTACAGCTGCTTTAAATGCCTTGGATAAGGTTTGTGAAACAGGAGAGATAATGCAACCTGTACCAAGGTATTACAGGGCCCAAGGGAAAGGTTCACTGAATTTTTAGAGAGATTATCCAGAGCAGTAGAAATACAGGTAGCAAATCCAGAATCCAGGCGACTCCTTATAGAATCTTTGGCATATGAGAACGCAAATCCTCAATGCAGGCAGGTAATTTGGCCATTAAAAATAAGATCAGCACCATTGGAGGAATGGGTCCTACATACAGCGAACCTGGAATGTAAAATTCAGG